ATCCATAGGGTTTTCATTGCCTGATTTTCAGAAGCAGATCACCAGGCCTTTCTTCCTAGTCCATCTTAACCTGGAAGCTCCACTGAAACCTGTCCGACATCATAGCAACACGCAAGCCTCCACTGACAGATGAGTGGTGGCTGAGCTTGAGGTGCATTGGCCGGGAATTGATTCCAGGTCTCCCACATGGGGAACAAGAATTGTACCACTGAACCACCACTGCCCCCAGTTCAGACACTACCTCCTCCAAAAAGTCTTTCCTGACATGCCCAGAGACCATCAACCTTACATCCCTGCTACCTCTGAGATTTTATTCCTTCTACTCCATAATTGCCAATCTGTTTAAGTAGCTGTGAGTTCAGCCAGCACAGTTTCTGCATCTGGCTCATGATGCCTGGTGCAGGGTCTGATACCTGGCACGTGTTCAGTTATATTTGTTGAACCGAATTGTCCTGTGGCCTAGGCACTCTTGGGGCTTTGGTTTCTTCCCTGTGAGTCTGAGCGAGCTGCTTGAGGTACATTGGAGACTAGCTAAGCATTAGCGATGGCGGCTGGTGTTCCCAGGCAGAGGCCGGGAGACTGCATGAGGAGCCAGGGGCTCAGGCTGAGGTGTGGGTGCCGACAGCTCTTCTCCAGGCACACCGACCAACTCTACCTCCCTGGCCACAGGGCTGGGCAATCCCCACTGTCTTCTACCCTGGAGCTCTATGAAGCCTGGAAGTAAACAAATCAGGTCTGTGACTCTAAAAACTTGGAAATCAAGTCAAATGAATTAAGGAAATAAGCCAGAAATGTCAAGATCAAGAAAACCTTGGCTAAACTTCCAAATCATGTTGCTGTTTAGTGGCAAAGCAGGCCCTGGAGACCTCCTTTAGAATGGTCCAGAATAAAAGAAGCATTCAAATGAAGCTCCCCCAAAGCATCCTGACTCTAAAGAAATCAATACTCCGGAGCCTTGTGCCTCTTAGGCCAAACCATTGGCATGAGCAGTATAGTTTAAAAGAAAATTTACCCCAAAAGAGGCTGTGAATGTGATAAAAGGAAAGACCTGGAAAAAAAAATCACTGAGATCCCCTGACCTAGGGACCTTGATCTAGCCCTTCATTTTACAGATGGGAAACTGAGGCACAGAGAAGTTAAGGGACTTCTGGAAAGTTATACATTTGAATGTCTAAATGTCTCTAGCTGTTTGCCCTTAGATGAGTCACTTCTCTCTGAGCTCTGTTTTCTCATCTATAAAATGAACAAACAGGCCCCCCTCTAAGGGCTCATCCAGCCCTACCCTTCTTTGACTTGGTAAAGTCCTGTTGAAGGAGATCTGTGTTCCACCTCTAGTGTGGACACTAATTCACAACATGACTTTGGGCAAGTCATTTCTCTTCATTGAGCCTCTGAGACAATGTTTCGTGGTGTTTACTTGCCTAAGTGTGAACCAAAGAACTCCAGGTTCTCCACTTAAATGGGTTCTCAAGGAATCCTTTTATCCAGCCCCTGAGTGGGCAGTACCCAACCTAACCAGAGCCCTGGATGGGGTCCAGCCAACCCCTTCTGAGAAATCTCAAGGTAAGAGCTGCCATATTTCTCAAATATCAGTCAGTAGTAATAACATTTTCTGGTGTCTCTATGATGCTTTATAGTTTACAAAGCCTTAGAGTTCACAAAGCTGCCCAGGTGTGAATCCCAGTTCCACTACCTTCTAGTTATGGGACCTTGGGTAAATCATTCAATCTTTCTGTGCCTTGGTTTCCTCAACTCTAAAACTGGACGTTAATAATAGTGCCTACCTCATCATCTGTGAAGTGTACAATTTGTAAGCACTTTTAACAGTACCTGGCACACAGCGATTGCTCAATAAATTATTAGTTGCTGCTGCTATTATTATTATAAAGCACTTTCAGATGCTTGACCTCACTTGATCCTCACATTCTATTATTTCAGGCAAATCTGGACAAGGTTATAAAGCTATCAACATTTGGAACATGCAAAGGTTTCTCTCCAAACCCAAATAGTACGGTGCTCAAATGTCCTTACAATAGTAGGTTGGTAGTCTCACATACTTTGGATATGTTATCAGGAGGGATTAGTCCCTGGAGAAGGACATCATGCTTGGTAAAGTAGGGGTCAGCTAAAAAGAGGAAGACCCTCAATGGAATGAATTGACACAGTGGCTGCAACAATGGTCTCAAGCATAACAATGATTGTGAGGATGGCGCAGGACCAGACAGTGTTTCATTCTGTTGTACGTAGGATTGCTATGAGTCGGAATCGACTCGACGGCACCTAACAACAACAACAATTTCACTCTAGGCAGAAAACGACTCTTGGTTTAGCTCCCCCATGGGTGCAATTTATGTAAAGAAATGGTGTGGCTTCCTTGTGGTGGGGAGCTCTCAGAGAAGAACTGGGGTGGGCTGAGGGCTGCAGTGAATCAAAAAATACAAGCTGGTAAGAGACTTAACTGATCATCTGGTCTTACATTTCACTGATGGAGAAACTTGGGACCAGAAAGGTGGAGTGGCCTGCACAAGTCCCACAGCAACATGGTAGTGGGGCTGATAGTACGGCTCAGGGCTCCCTGTCCTCAAACCATCCAGTGCTGGTTCCTCACCCACATCTGGTAGGGAATAGGGCAGGGAATGACCATCAGCTCTCACTACTTTCTGAGAAGGGTTCAGAAAAGGTTGTCAGGGGTGGGAAGGTGAGAGGTGATGGGGATTTTCAGGAATAATTAGAGCTTCTGGGCCCGGCACCCCCAACAAGGCCACAGAAATTGCAGTGGAACCACCCTAGAATGTCTCCATTGCCCACACTTGCAATGGTTATATATTTAGAATGAATTATTAAGCTAATGTGGGGTGGTAGCCTAAACTGGTAACCAAGAGACCTGGATTTTAATTCTACATTCAACTTAAAAGCCCTGCCTTCCTGCCTCCAAGAAGCCCCTTGATGACTCCTTCCCTGAGTTCCCACTGTCCTTATTGTCTGAATCACACACCATCCTGTGTCGGTAAGTGGCCTCTACTAATGGCTTGTTCCTCTCCCCAACAGCACAATAAATGCTTTAAGTAGAAGGACTGAGTCTTAAGCTTTCCATACTTCCCACAGCACCTAGTGTGCAAGACAATCACAGAAAACGCACGCCAAGAAGGACCCCAAAGATCAGTCATCTCATTCAACTCAGGCTCTCCTTTTGTGGAGAAAATTAAGGTCAGGAATGGCATTGTCCCAACAACTAGAACAGGCTGTGATGGGATTTCAGACACAACAGCAAAAGAAAAAAACCAGGGGGAAGAAAAGACACTCATTTATGAGAAGTTGGAAGACAAAACCGTGCCACATGAAGCAATGTCCTTAGAAGTTGTGCACGTGCAGATCAAGAAGGAAAGTCCTCAAATAAGCTTTTGCTCCTGCATTAACCCTGGAATCCATGTAACTTTGGGTAAATTACATAATTCTTACTACCCTCAGAGGGTAGGGGATGCTTATGTTATACAATTCAGCTGTTGGCACAGGATTGTTGTTAATTTGTTTTGTAAGAGCTTTGCCCCTTAATTTTTATTTTCCTTTAATTTTATTCCATAAGTTACACTAAGCACATTTCAGAAAAGTTGGACCTACTTTTCTGGGAAGAGGAGCCCTGGTGGCACAGTGGTTAAGAGCTTGGCTACTGTTCAAAAGGTTGGCAGTTCGAATCCACCAGCTGCTGCTTGGAAACCCTATGGAGCAATTCTACTCTGTCCTATAGGGTAGCTATGAGTCGGAATCAACTCAACGGCAACTGATTTGTTTTGGTTTTTTTTTGGATCTGGGAAGAACAAACAATAAAGAATATATTATATAGACTCTCTCAGAGTTAAGGAGCCCTGGTGGTACAATGGTTAAGTGCTCGGCTGTTAACTGAAAGGTTGGGCAGTTTGAACCCAAGAGCTACTCTGTAGGAGAAAGACGTGGCAGTCTGCTTCTGTAAAGATTACAACCTTGGAAAATCTATGGGGCAGTTCTACTCTGTTCTATAGGGTCACTATGAGTCAGAATCTCAATGGCAACAGGTTTGGTTTTGGGTATCTCAAAGTTGAATATCTGGAAATAAGATACTAACTGCAATAAGGTTATCTTGCCATATACATGTGGGTGAGTGATGTGTGTATGTGTGCATCTTTTGAAATGGATTAAAACAATGGATTATTGACATATGCTTATGATACTTTATATATATGGACACACAGAGATATCTATGTGTAGGTACAGATATAAATATAATTATTTTCAGCTGCCATCTGGTATAACCTTAAATAGATATAACAACAGCTATTTTTATGTAATATACGGCTATAAACAGTTATAGGTATATGTCTATTAGTTTTATATAACCTACTTCTAGTTGACATCTATTATAAATTATGTGTGTGCATTGTATGTGAATACAAATGCAAGTGGCATATTTATGGTTAGAAATATATATCCCAGTTGTATCTAAAGCTTCTTACTTTCAGGTGAAATCCAGTATAAACTTGTAATTTTTCATTCTATCAACAAAGGAACATAGTAAGTATAAGATAAGAGAAAATGTGTTGCTTTTTTTACTCTCTTTAAGAAAGTCCATAAGTCATATGTGATGCCAGAAATGAGATAATTTTATATCTTTTACTAGGAAATCAATAATTTCAACTCTTATCTTCTAAAGTGGCATGGGCTCTAACGAACCCTATTAAATCCAGGGCAGTTTTGCAGGTCCCCTGAGCCATACCCTTTACTGGTGTCAGAGCGCTCAGCTGACGCCAGACTAGAGCAGACCATATGACTCTGTAGAACCCTGAGAAGAAGCGGCTTTGGTCTTACTAGATGTCTACTCAGCATTGTCAGCATCTCCATTCTAAACCATGCATGGACATGCTGCTTGCTTCCCACATCCTGTTTGGAGCTGGGCCCCCGGAGAATGAGAAGAGCAAGATGCTGCTCAGATTGGGTGATCTAGGTTCAGGGAAGGGTCAGATACTCACCATACGCTGTCACTGCCTTTGTCCAGAGGGTTTCCCCTGGGGTCGTAGTACACATCCACACTGAGGTTTCGGTTTGTGTCATGAGCCGAGTTGAAGTTGGTGATCACTCGGGAGGGAATCCCAAGAGCCCGCAACACTGCAACAAGTCAGGATCAGTCTGAGGACTCAGGACACACTGGAGAGGGTAGCTTGGCGCACCACCTTGCTGCCCCCTGACCCAGTAAAGGGATATCACACCCGAGGTACCTGTATTTAAGGTCCCAGCAAAGACCCAGCACTGCCCATAGCGCACGGGCCTGAAGCCGGATCTTTTCCACCTCTTGAGGATCTCCACACTGCCGTTCCAGTTCCTTGGGTCCTGGCCATCTGTATAGCTGCCACTCCAACTCCCAGCAATCAAACCGTTGTCATCATTGCTATTGATCTGCACAGGAAACCCCCAACATGAATCAATCCATACCTTTCCCACAGAGAGTGACATGGAGAGTTCAAGGGGCAAGGTGTAGAGCTGAGGCAGGAAGCCAGGGAGCTGCCAGATGGGCTTGTCTGTGTCTTTCTAGGTGATTCGGGGATGATAATTGTAATAATACCCCTGTATATGAATCAACAGGGTCCCTGGGTGGTGTAAATGGTTTGCACCGGACTGCTAACCTAAAGGTTGGTGGTTTGAACTCATCCAGAAAGAAAGGCCTGGTGATCTACATCCATAAAGATTACAGCTAAGAAAGCCCTATGGAGCAGTTCTACTCTGTAACACATGGAGCTGCCATGTGTTGGAATTGACTCGATGGCTACAGGTTTGGTTCTTATATGTACAGAATGGTTTATGAATTTAAAAGTGCTCTGACTAATGGGTCGTGTTTGACTGCCCTCGATCCATCCATCAATCCTGTACAGCAGGCTCCCACAGAAAACCAAGACTGTGGCTTGCCAGTGGCGAGTCAGGGCTGGAAATCCAGCTCACAGAGGACTTCTTGTAAGAGCTTGTAGACTGTCACAGATAAGTGACTTGGGTGTCCATGGTTTGGAACTCTATTATGGTGTACTGGTCTTCTAAAAAGATTGCTTTAGCAACTAACTTCTTCTTGAAAAGAATGAAGATGAACGTTGCTTTTCTTTCAATCATGCATTCATTCAACTTGGGGCATGGTTCTAATACAAGTAGCACAACCATGATGCGGTGTAAAAGGGCACAGGACTAGGAGTCAAGAGACCTGAGTTTCATTGCCTTTTAGAGACATATATTGAAATACTTACAAGTGAAATGATGTAATGTCTAAGAGATACCAAATAATCTGTTGAGGGGTGGTGGTAGAGATAAAACAAGACTGGCCTTGAGTTGGTAATTACTGAGGCCAGGTGATGGGTACATAGGAGTTCATTATACTTCTCTCTCTACTTCTGTGTATGTCTGAATTCTTCCATAATCAAAAGTTAAAAGGGAAAGAGAATGAGGAACCTGGGTTCCAAGCCCAGCCTTGCCTCTTACCAGCTCAGTAATCGTGGGCAAGTCAGTTCACCTCTCAGCACCTTAGTTCTTCATTTTCCAACACAGAGAAGGTTAGAAACAAATGAACGCTAAAGTTTTAAGGTGTCTTTCAGCAGTCAAGTATTCAGTTTATGGAATTTTGTCATTCATCCCAACTGTACAAGAGGCAGGACGGTGGTTTCTGAGGGCCCCCAGCTCTGAGAGCCATGAATTCTTCTCCCTCTCTATGGGGGGTGGGGTCCACAGGTGGCACGGCTGTGAGAATGGGCTTGCCCAGGCCTGCCTAGCCTTCCCTCCTGCCTATCCAGTGGCGGAGCTCTGCATCCCATCCTGGGAGGGCCAGGGCTGGGATCACAGGATCCGGCAGGATGGAGTCTCCCCCGAGAGGGAAGATGGTACAGGCCCACCCCATCTCCTGAATCACCAGCACTCTAGCCACCATGGTGGTAATGAGGAGGTCATCTCCGGCTGAAAGCTGAGCATTTCGAAGCCCTGCACAAGCCATAATTAGCTCAGGGCCCAGCCCAGCCGGGAGGTCTGGAGATATCATGGGGAGGTGCAGCTGAGGAAACTGGCACAGAGATAAAGCGCTTTGTCCCGAGGGTGAGTGAGTCAGCATCTGCAGGAGCCAGCAGCCTCACCCACTCTCTCCTGGATGGGGATACTCAGCCTCAGAAGTTGCCCAGCTTCACGGCCCCCCTGCCTCGGCTTTAATTTCACCCCTCCCAGACCACTAGGTTTTCAATCTATCTGGATTTCGAGGTTCAGTTTAAGCCCCATTTCCTTTCCCTACCCTCCTGGGCTGCTCTAGCCCTCACCCATCTCCTTGCTGCCTCCAGTTTCCCTGGACCTACCCCATACCTGTTGTTGTTAATTGCTGTCTAGTTGGCCCCTGACTCATGGTGACCCCATGCACAATGGAACAAAACGCTGCCCCATCCTGCACCAACCCCATGATCGGTTGGGGATGGGACCATTGTGATTCACTGGGTTTTTCATTGGCAGATTTTTACGGAAGTAGATCACCAAACCTTTCTTCCTAGTCTCTCTTAGTCTGGAAGCTCTGCTGAAACCTGTACAGCATCATAGCAACCTGGAAGCTTCCAATGACAGGGGTAGTGGCTGTGCATTCGGTGCGTTGGCCGGGAATTGAATAGAGGTCACCCACATGGAAGGTGAGAATTCTCCCAATGAACCACCACTGCCCTCACCCCACCCCTACCCCATTCCTTACCATCAAGGCCTAGTTTAAGACTCATCTGGTGCAAGAAGCCCTTTCTGATTACTCCTCAGATATTTATAATGAAGTCTAAAGGTTGTCCAAATTTCTAACCATGTAACAAATTCGTTAGCTTGGACATTATCTAACGCCAAAGTAAAGAGACCTAGACATGCCTAGTTCATTAATCACTTATTTATCTTATTTTAAAAGAAAAAAAATTTAAAAACATGTCTGAGTAATTATTCAGTTTAGAAGAGTTAAAGAACTCTCCTGGACTTTACATCTTTAACTTGTAACTTGGTAACGGGTTGGTCCCTGTTTGGAGACTTTCTGGTGGCCCCATTCTCTCTGCACACAGGGTGCAGTGATGGGCTCCTCTGGGGACCGTTTGCAGGTGTGGGACAGGCCTCTCTCACACTGATGGCCAGGGTAAGTGGAAAGAGGCCCTGGGTGGGCAGCTCAAGGCCTGACTCTGTGGTTGTGAGCAAGTCACTTCAGTTCCTTGGGCTTTGGTTCCCCATCTAGATAAAGAGTGGGCTGGCCTGGTACCCTCCCAGCCTGATGCCCAGTGCTCTGTGCTGTGGAGGAGATGGATCAGAACTAAGGAGCTCAACACTGGTTCTCTAGGGACTTGCCTTCTTTCCCAGGCTGCCCAGCAATGCAATGGGTCTCAGCTCTGCTTCCTCCTGTCCCTTGGGGGCACCAAAGGACAAGCTCCCCACATCATCTCAGAAAGGCCTTCCAATACAGTGGAAAGGGCATGGGCTTTGAAGCTAGGCAGACCCGGGTCCGGTTATCCATCTGCCACTCGTTCCGTGAGCGTCTTGGGCAAGTAATTGAATTCAGAGGCGCCTCACACTCCAAGTCTGCAAAACGGGGATGATAATAGCTACCAACTATATTTTGTGAGAAATATAGTTTACCCTGGGTGGCGCAAACAGTTAACACGCTTGGCTGTTAACTGTTAACTGAATGGTTGGAGGCCTGAGTCCACCTAGAGGTGCCTTGGAAGAAAGGCTTGGAGATCTATGTCCAAAAAATCAGCCACTGAAAACTCTGTGGAGCACAGTTCAACTCTAACACACATGGGGTCACCATGAGTCAGAACTGACTAGATAGCAGTTGGTGGTGGTGGTGGTGGTATTTTGCGAGAAGGCTTCAATGAGATGATGTGTGTAAAAAGCGCATGTACTTAACCCGTAGTTGATATTAAATAAATGGGGACAGCTAGTTATTATAATTTTCCTATTACTCACCATTGCACTCAGTACCCGGCCAACATATTTGGGGTCATTTCTGCGGGCCACATCAGTAGTGGGGTCTTGGCGGAAATTCAGACTTCTATCAAGGACCGAGAGGCAAATATTCAGAATATCCTGCTCAAACTGTTAAAAAATGGGACTCAGTGTTAGAATGAAGGAAATGACAAGTGGTCGAGGCTAAGCAAGGGTACGAGACCCACACTAATGAGATCCATAGGAGCTGTCTGGGTCCTTCCACCCCTTGGTCTCCAGAACTGAGCAGAGCAACCAAGGAACAGCCACCACACCCAGGCATCAGCCCTGAGCACTCATCCGGTGCTTTCTGGATACAGAAGGCACTGTGCTGACTCCTCTAAAGTGAATAGGAGAGAGTAGCTCATGGCTGATTCCCTCACTGCCACAGGCTTTGGAGCAAATCGCTGAGCCTGTCTGGGCCTCGGTCTCCCCATCTGTAAAATGCGGGATTAGGCCATGCTGATCCCAAAGTTTCCTTCTGGCTCTGACAGTCTGTGATCTGGAGCATATTATTTAGACTCCTGGGGCACTAGCTATAAAATATCCTGCTTAAAGAGGTGTTTGAAACCATTTTCACAAAACGAAGCTTTTAAGTCAGTGCTTCTCAAACTGAGGTCTAATCCCAGAAGGCCAAGCTCCCTCTTGTCTTAGGGTCTTTGCATTTGCCATTCTTTCTGCCTGGAATGCTTTTCCCTGAGATATCTCTATGGCTTCCTCCTTCACCTCCTTCAGGTCTCTGCTTAAATGTCTCTTCCTAAGAGAGACCTTCGCTGACCACACTATCAAAATCAGCCCCTATTTCATCCCTAGGTGTACTCTATACCCTTACTTCTTTTTCCTTCCTTCAAATGACATTTGACACGTATAGAATAGAAAACAGAAGAATTGTCCTGGCTGACTATGGGATGGGTTCTGGAAAAGGGCAGAGCATGCAACTTCCCACCCCCCTTGGTTACCCAAGGCACCTCATCTGAAGTACCTCATCCTAATGCCTGCCTTTGTCTGTTGGGAAAAAGAATTCCTGAAAGTTTTCTAAGCTGAGCAAACCAGGGAAACCTGGGGACTCAGGGTGGGGCTGGGGTAATAAAGGACCAAGAGGTTATGGCTTTGAAAGACGTAGTGCACACAAGGAAGTTTTATCACACTTTTATATGGGATGAAAAACAGAAACTAAATCTATTTTCATTCTGTCTCGAGTACCTCTACTGGGCCTTATATTTATTTGTGTGATATGGTGCCAATTATATTTCATTGCACCAATTTAGTTATAGGTCTGTCTTGCCCACTACACGGTGAGCTCCTTAAAGATAGCAGTTCTGTCTTACTCTTCTCTTGCATCTTTAGTGTGCACGCTGGACCCTGGCACATAGTAGGTGGCCAATAAAGTCTTCTGAACGAATGAATGAATGGAGGGCAGGCAGAGGGACAAATGGCCAACTTTTTGCCTGTCTATGGGACGAGCTGCTGAGCTCCTTGGGTAATAGGGACATGGCCCCCAGCTTCCTTATGACCATTTTACCTGTCCGAAGTTCCAGCCAACCACGCTAATGTGCTCTGCCTTTCCCACATAGATGATGCCGGCATCTTGCTGAACGTACTCCTCTCTCTCAGCAGCATTACTCATAAAGACGCTATCCGCTGTTTGACACAAAAATCAGATAGCAGGAACTAGAAACTTACAGAGCACTGAAGAGATCAGTCCTCCTCCCACTCCTGAGCACTAAGCTGGGGGCTGGAGCAAGCCCCACTTCTGCCCCTCCCTCAACCTCCAGCTGGGAATGTAGCACTGGGCTGTACTGTTTCAACTCAAACTGTGGGAATGATGAGCTGGAAAGAGAAGCTGGGATGACCTGAGGGTCTAAAAATGAGACCTCAGGGATGAAAAACTTGCTCACTACAGATGCTCCTTCAGGCAGGAAGCTAACTCCATGTGCAGAATTGTACTGTGGTTGTTGCCTATTACAATTATACCATGCTGTGCCATTTGTTAGCACTCACAAGATCTTCATAATAGTCCTAGAGGAGACAGCAGAAATTCCATTGAATGGTGAGGAATCTGAGGCTCCTCTTGGTAAAGTGACTACCCAGAGTGACACAGCTGGTAAGTGGCAGAGCTGGGACTCAAACCCATGGCTTTTGACTTCTAGCTTCTGTGCTCTTTTCCACAGCCCACAAACTTTCCGTAGTCAAACCTGAGCCAGGGAAGTCATTCTCCCACTTCTCTTCCATGGGCTCTGCTTAGTTGGTGGCTAGGAGTGTGGGTGGTTAGATGCCTACCTTGAAGCCAGGGGTTAAACAGGAGTATGAATGTCCCAAGCTTCACAGAGGAGAAGGAGCTCTGAAGGCTCAGTGTGTACCGTCCTATGGGTGCATAGGCAGGACTGGAGATTCTGACAGTCAGAGTGTTGCCCTGGCTGCCCTGGAGGTCTGCACTCCAGCCACCACTTGTTTCTTTGGAGAGTGGAAACACCGCTTTTGTCCTGGCCGACTCAGAGGGGTTAGGCCCTGTCAAAGAAGATAGAGAATCATGAAAATCAGGGGTGCTGGCCAGACTGTGGCGAGAGATTTACAACCTGTGAGAGATGCCATCCAATGAACACCATATTATGTCACTGGGATCAACTAGAGGGACCATATAGGCCAAATTCCTCTTGATTTGAAGACGATGACTCTTCAGCAAATCTCCCAAGGTCACACTAAGTCAAGGGCAAAGATGGGCTGGAGCCCAAGGCTCAGTGACCCTAGTATTACCACCACCGGCTGGATACACCGTCCCAAGGGCTACTCAGGTATGAGATGGGTGAGCAGGTACCTGTGGAGACTATGAACGTCAGATTTTGTCCAGAGCCCGTGTCTCCCCTGAGGTTCAATAAGATTGTGAAGAGTTGGCCTCTCCGCAAGATCAGTTCTGGGCTATCGAACCTGCCTGTGTGATGCGCCTCCCGGTTGGAGGACAGGTTCCAATTCACAGATGTTGGTCCTAAAGTTGTGAGACAGAAAGGAGGACCTGAAGTTCTGAGAGGCAAGGAATGGTGGCATGGGAAAACAGCGTAAGTGACCAAAGAAACATCTTTTTGGGAGGGGGTAGTCAGGGCAGAGCCAAACTTCTAGGAGGAATCACATTAAAAACCAAAGACCCTGATGCTGCATAGCAAGAACTGCACAACCTATTCCCATTCAATCTTTCCAGACTCATACCTCCTAACTCCCATAACCTAAGCTTACAGAAAATGCTCTGCCCTTTTAGGCAGTAGAACTTCTGTACACACTCTTCTGGTTGCTGAGTATGCCTTCCCCTCCTCCACCTGGTGAACCATCACTCAGCCTTTGAGAAACAGCCCCAATGCTCAGTGAAGCTTCACCCAACCAGTCAGGAGAACTAGTTCTTCTCATCTATGCAACCAGAGAAGTTCCTGGGTAATGCAAACAGTTGACGCACTTGTTAATGCACTATGATGCCGGAAGCTATACCACTGATATTTCAAATACCATGTCATCCATGGTGGACAGGTTTTAGTGAAGCTTCCCGGCTAAGACAGACTAGTAATAAAGGCCTGGTGATCTACTTCTGAAAACCTTATGTATCACAACAGAACATTGTCTGACTAGCTTGCTTTGGACACATCATCAGGAGGGATCAATTGCTAGAGGAGGACATCATGTTTGGTGAAGTAGGGGGCCAGTGAGGGCGAGGGAGACCCTCGGTAACATGGATTGGCACAATAGCTGCAATGATGGACTCAAACACGCCTGGCCATCATTAGGATAACAGAGGACTTGGCAAAGTTTTGTTCTGTTGTATAAAAGGTTGCCATGAGTTGGAGTCGACTTGACAGTATCTATGTCTGTCTGTCTGTCTGTCTATCTATCTATCCATCCATCTACCTATCTATCTCACCTTCTCAGTATGAGATGCACATGATTGTGGAGGTGATTGAGCTAAACCGAGAAGGGATTATGAGAAATATATGATCATGAGGAGGTTAGCCTATAGAAACCTTTTGAGAAATTTTATTCCTTCAAGTTATATTTGAGATGTTACATCACCCATTCCTCTACAAACCAAACTGGTCTGTCTTTACAGTGAGGCCACAATTACTGATAGGAGTGTGGTGGGATGTCCTAGTGCCAGTCACAACTCTTCTTTATACGTGTATAAAGAACATGCCTCATCAGAACGTGCCTTCTTGATCGTTATAATCCGACGCCTATCACATTGCCTGGCTCATATTAGGAGCCTAGATGAATAAAAAAATGAATGAACAAATAAAAAACAAATATCATACAACGGCCATCATGACTATAGCTCAAAATTTAGTTAATAAAAAAAGGTGACCATGGGGTATTCATTCAATAAACATACATACAGTACCCAAAAGAAGGAACAAATCAGTCTTAGAAGACATATAACCAGAATTCTCCTTAGAAGTGAGGATGGTGAGATTTTGGCTTGCTTACTTTGAACACATCATTAGGAAAGATCAACCGCTAGAAAACGACTTCATATTTGGTAAAGTAGAGGGTCAGTGAAAACGAAGGAACCTTCAGTGAGATGGATTGACATAGTAGCTGCAACAATGAACCCAAACATACCAACGATCATGAAGATGGTACAGGACCTGGCAACATTTTGTTCTGTTACACATAAGGTCACCAGGAGTCAGGGCCAACTCCATGGCAACTAACAACAACAATTTGTAGGATACTGTGTTAGTCACAGGTTGGGGGTGTAAGAATGTATGAAATGTAGTTTTAACTCTCACAGAGCTTCAGCAGTGGGGAAGACAAGCATAAGCGATAAGGAATGATAGATCTGGGTAAAGCCAGTTCCCCCAGTGAAAGGTGCAAGAGAGATCCAGGCAGGAAGGAATCATACTCAGTTGTATGGATAAGGAAAAGCCTCACTGAAAATGTCTAGCTGAGCCTTGGCAGAAAAGAGAATTTTGACAGGTACAGATGGGGCAGACTGCATTCCAGACAATGGAAAAAGACTCCTCAGAGGCATGGAAAACAGGAGTCTTATCTGGCTTGAGCAGAGACTGCACAGGAGAACAGAGAATGGTGAGAGGGAGAGAATGTGGTACAAGGGCAGGACTGGGGCAAGGGGATTCCTTGGAAGCAGCAAACTGGGCAGAGGCTTTCCCAGGTAAAATGCATAATCTCTGGGGTGGGGAGCCAAACACTGCTACTGGAGAGAGGGCCTCAGGGGTGACCTTGCTGCCACCTCAAGCGTACTAAACATTTATTAATTCACATATCCATTCATTCAACAAATAGTTATTGAAGGAATAAATTAATAAGCTTTTATACAAATTCAGGGAAACTAAACATTCAATGAGTATCTATTGACTAAAAGGAAGGACAAAAGGAGGAAAGGAGAGATAGCAGGAGGGAGGAAGAAAGATGAACACTCTTGTATAAGCTCACAAATACTGGATAGAAATAGCCCAGATCTTAGACACTCTGGTAAACATTGAGCTCTATAACTGTTTGTATATAGCTAGGCTGCTAGATGCTGGGTTTCTCTAGGGCAATGGTTCCCAACTATTTAACTCCTGCCTCCTACCAACCTTGACCACTACCTTCTGTGCATCCCGGCCAGTTGAGGTTTGATAGAGTCTTACTCTCTGTGTGAGGGCTCTTTAAAAATTGAGGCACTTGGCATGACTGAAATGGCTGACACAAGGATCTGAAGTGGGCTCCATTTTGTCTTAAACTTTCACTTCCGTTTTCAGAATATTTGTACCCTCCCTTCCCCATTAATTCTCTTCCCTTGAATACACAAAAATGTGTTTCTACTTGCTTAAGATTATTGGAAAGAATTCCTTCACAGATGTGTTAGATAATTCTTGGGGAAAACTGATGGTATGAGTTGGCTCCAGGAAGTGTATGTTAGAAAAGAGACCAGCTAACAATGTAAAACTTTAACTTGTGATTGTCTTGTGAACCTTTGGCAACTTCCAGATCTATATGACCGTGGTCAGGTACTCTCTTCCCCATTTTACTGTATCAAACGCCCACCTCTTTTCCAATGAATTGGAACACTTTGTGAAACCCCCACATTGTGTTGTTCAGCTTGAGCAATAAACTCTCAGCTTTCACTTCTAACAGAGTGCAAGATTTGTACTGCGCTTTGACATCTCTGTCACTTGTTTTAGAAAGAAGAAGAGCTCTATAGAATACATGGGTTCGGACCACATGAGCCTCCCCAGAGATTCCGCATCCTCACCCCCACCCAAAGTGATGCATCCCCTTCTCTCCCAGGTGAAGCTCACTATTCTAGATCACAAGCTCTTAAGAGCAGAAGGCATGTCTCCACGCAACCTTCTGCCAAGCACAGGGGTGAGGAAAGCGGGGGGAGTGATGCCACATCTGCACCCTCTCCAACAGGCCCACATTTTGTCTGCTTTATAGAAAGCTATGCACTGCCGGAGCCCCTGGATGGTGCAGTTGTTTTCTTATGCACTGTTAGCTGTGTCAATAGTAGAGGCCTTAGCCTTTAATCCCAGAGACCAGTGGCTTGTCCCTAGGGAGAATGACTAAGAAAAGACTGAGTCCAGGATGCCCTGGCTGCTAAGACACTGTCCCTCCCACCAGAACTTGGCCTGCCAAAAGAAGACAGAGGGGCACTTTGCATGTTCCAGCTAGGTCGGGGCTGATGATGATGATCATAATACTAGCTAAAGTTTGCTGAGTATCTACTATGTGCCAGTCATTATTTGAAGTGTTTTACATGTACTAGCTCATTTAATCCTCACCACAACCCCATGAGGTGGGTACTTTTAATATTCTTGTTTTATAGATGAGGAAACCAAGGTATAGAGAAGCCAAGTAGCTTGGCCAAGGTCACACAACTCCCGAGTGGAGGAATCTAGATGTGCAGTCATGAGACTCTGGCTCCCGAGCCCAAAGGAGCCTTGTTCCCCATTAGGATGGGGATGGGGTATATGAGGTTTTTCTGAGCTGGAGGGGTGAGGAAAAAGAGAACTCACATTTGTTGCCAGACAAATAGTAGTTGCACGTCAACTACTATTAACAATACACAGTGATAAAGATATAGATATTGTTGCTGGTTGCCCTCAAGTCAATTCCAACTCATGGCGACCCCATGTGTGCAGAGTAGAACTGCTCCATAGGGTTTTCAAGGCTGTGACCTTTCAGAAGCAGATCTTCAGGCCTGTCTTAGGGAGACTAAGTACCTTATCTGAGCTCATAAACCTAGTAATTGGCAAGAGTTAGGATTTCCTCCATATCTCCTAACCTACTCTGTCACCATGGTCCTCAGTTCTCCTCCTGGAAAGGGTCCCCATGCAGGACCTTTAGTCCAAATGATGCCCTAGGAGGTGAGGGTCTCACCATCCATGACCCTCTGCCCTAGCATTTGTGTCCGGACAAATAGGAAGAGTGAGCACCTGAGAAGGGAAAATGCACTTCAAAAAGGCATTCTTCACGGGAGTGAATGGAAAGGGAGTGGCCAGGTGGCATCCATGGTTGAAGACATGCATATGAAGCCTCACGGGTGATTTCTGACACCTTTCTTTTTTTTTTTTTTTTTTCCACATTGTTGTATCAGTAGCTCATAGATTTTTTTTAACTTTTCTTATTGTTGTATTTTAAGTGAAAGTTTACAATTCAAGTTAAGTATCTCATACAAAAATTTATACATACATTGTTATGTGACCCTAATTGCTCTCCCTATACTGTGACAGCACACTCTTTTCCACCCCTGATTTCCTGTGTCCATTCAACCAGCTCCTGACCCTCTCTGCCTTCTCATGCCACCTTCGGACAGGAGCTGCCCATTTAGTCTCATGTATCTACTTGCGCTAAGAAGCACACTCTTCACGAGTATCATTTTACGTCCCATAGTCCAGTCTAATCTTTGTCTGAAGAAGTTGGCCTCGGGAGTGGTTTTAATTCTGGGTTGACAGAGAGTCTGGGGCCATGCTTTCTGGGGATCCTTCTGACATCTTTCTATCT